AAAAAAAAAAAAAAGCCAGGTGTGGTGGCACCTGCCCCCAGTCCCAACTATTTCAGAAGCTGACGAGGAAGGATCACCTGAGCCTCGGAGTTTGAGGCCGTATTGAGCTATGACCCTGCCACTGCACTCCAGACTGGGTGACAGAGCAAGACCCTGTCTCTTAAAATAATAATAATAATAATTTCCTAATTAAATAACTATACTTCATGGTTTTGCAGGAGAATATGTCCAGGAGGAAATACACACTAAAAAATTTGAAGTGATGCCGTGCAAACAACTTGTTATCAAATGATTCAGAATAAAAAGTCTTCAGACTGTATTTAAGATGTTTAAGTTTGTTTCAAAAAGAAAAAAAAGACTGAAAGAATGAAAGAGAGGAAAAGATGAAGAAAACAATGAACAGATTGAATTTTATCAGAAAATTAAATGCTTTCTAAAAAAACAATCAAATGGCAATTCTAGAGCTGAAAAATAAACAAACTAAAAATTAATAAATGGGTTTAATTATAGATAAGAATCAACGGAACAGAGTATTAATGAATTAGAAGACTAGTTAACAGAAAATATCTAGAAGAAGGCATAGAGGAAAAAAAGGACGGAAAATCAGAAAGACCATAAAAAAAGACATTTGGAACACAATGATGAGATATAATACACATACTAATATAAATTCCAAGAGGAGAGGAGAATGGAACAAAAATAATAACTGAGATCAGCAGCTGAGAAATTTTAAAAGTTTATGAAAAACATGAAGCTATTTGTTATGCTAAAATTGTGTCACCTCTCACCCCCCAATTCACATGTTGAAGTCCTAACCCCTAGTACCCCAGAATCTGACTTTATTTGGAGACAGAATTTTTACAGAGGTAATTAAGTTAAATGAGGTCATTAGGATGAGACCTGATCCAATACAACTGGTATCCTTATAAAAAGGGGAAATCTGGGAGAGGGAAAGAGGGAGGAAGAAGAAAGGAGGGAGAAAGGAAGAGATTGAGAGAGAAGTAGGGAGAGAGTGAGAAAAGGAGGGAGCAGAGAGAGGGAAAAAGAAAGTGCAAGCAAGCAAAAAAAGGCAGTAAGATGGAATCTAAACGTTATCTGACTGAAAAAAAAAAAAAGTAGAAAAGGAGTAACAAAGAAACAGGACAGATGGGAGAAACAGAAAACAAATACCAGATGGTCAAGCATATCAATAAGTGGACTAAAACACTCCAAAGCCAAAGACTGTCAGCCTGGATTAAAAAATAACAATAAAATAAAAACAAGATATAACTATATTCTGTTTGCAAAAGACACACTTAAATGTAAAAGCTTGTGGGATGCAACTTGGGGGAAATTTATTGTATTAAGTGTATATTTTTTCTTTTCTTTTTACTTTTACTTTGAGACAAGGTCTCTCTGTCGCCCTGGCTATAGTGCAGTGGCATCATCATAGCTCGCTGCGACCTCTAATTCCTGGGCTCAAGTGATCTTCTTGCCTCAGCTGGGACTATAGGTACAGGTAACCACACCTGGATAACTTTTCTATTTTTTTGTAGATATGGGGTCTTGTTCTTGTTCAGGCTGGTCTTGAACTCCTGGACTCAAGAGAGCCTCTGGCCTCTCCTCCCAAAGTGCTAGGATTACAGGCATGAGCCACAGCGCCCAGCAAATGTATACATTTTTTAATAGCCAAAAATCAATGATCTAAGACATTTTAGACGTAAGGACATAGAAAACTTCTCTCTCACAAAACCCTTTTTGGGAAATTACTTGAGAATACTCCAGCAAAACAGAGGACAGATCAAGAAAAGATGACACGGAATCTGGAAAATAGAGGATTCAACTCAGAATAGCAGTAAAGAGTAGTTTTAGCCTGAGACTTAGAGAGCTCCCCAAAACAGGAACAGGTGGATGGAAGTTCATATAGGGAGGTCTCAGGGAAAAATGTGAACTCAGAATATCTGGTATACTGGAGAATTTAAACAAGGAGGGGAGCAGCTATGAGAAAGCCAGCAATGTAAGAAAAAAATTCTAGGAAAAAACTCAAAAACCTCTAGTGTAACTACAGTTACCACAAAACCTTGCAATGAATGATGTTTACATAGTTATAATATAAGCTTTTAGAAAAGTTATTTTTCAACCTTTAGAGCAATGAAGAATTGATTATGATTACAGATGGAATATAAATATTATTAACCTTAACAATATAAAGTAAATATAGTTGACTAAAATTGGGAAATTCAGGCCGGGCGTGATGGCTCATGCCTGTAATCCTAGCACTCTGGGAGGCCGAGGTGGGCAGATTGTTTGAGCTCAGGAGTTCGAGACCAGCCTGAGCAAGAGCGAGACCCCATCTCTATTTAAAAAAATAAATGAAAAAAATAAAATAAAATTGGGAAATTAAAAAAATAGATGAAAACTAATGGTAAAGACTGGAGATTGTCAATACTCAAATTTTACAAAGTAGGCAGTTTACAGTTAATGGTCAAAAAATAGTAAATATAGTACTTCAATTTACAAAGGTAATTAACTGATTTAAAACAGTTATATAACAATACTGGGAGAAAGGTGAGTATAAGATAAATCCATGTTTGTCATACCAAGAAGTTAAAAGATATTTCTAAAACAGGATAAATTAAGAAAGAATATGGGCAAATTGTTTACAGACATGGAGGCAAATGCCAGAAAAATAATGAAATGGGTTAAAAGGGATTGCTTCTATGAAGTGGGACTTGTGGGACTATAGTAGCATATGCTTTTATGACCATACAGAGTTATTAAAAGTAGAAGAAAAAAATTAAGTATAAAATGGCCTCTTTCAGAGGCCATTAGACAAATGGCCATTTATTACCTCTCTCCCCTTCCTGTGGGGGTAAAGAAAAAAAATTTCTTAATTCAGTCAAAATTTACATGACATTTAATAACAGAATGTTTCCATCCAGTTTTCTGGCTAAAAAAAAAAAATAAATAAGTGTATGTACTACTTCTGCCCAATTTTATAGCCTGTAATAGCAACCTGACATCGGCCTTTTGAAATGCTAGGATATTAAGCTTCAGTAAAGCATAATGGTTAGGGTATTTATGAGCTTTAGCTTCAGAAAGATGCAAGTCTTAACCTAACACCACTACTTACTAGCTATATTACCTTGCATAAGGTTACTAATCCTCTTCAAAAGTAATTTCTTCATCTGTGAAGTGGAGATGATAATGCTTATCCTAACAGAGTTAGATAACGTATATAAACACTCTCTGACACATAATAAACATTCAGTATGAGATAGTTTTAATTATTACTTACATTGGCCACCACTTTTACTTCTTTGTATTGTGCTTCATAGAAAATTCCAGCATTTTCCAGTGCTTCTGTTAGTGAAGGCCCATTTTTCACCTGCTTATCTAATCCATTCACAAATTCCTCCAGCTTGGAGCTTGCCTCTTCAAATTCTTTGGAGAACTTCTTCCCACCTGTTTTGTCTAAAATAACACAGGAAGTATTCATTTCAGGATACAAAATAAAAAATTTAATCTTTTGGCTCGGCATGGTGGCTAGAGCCTGTAATCCCAGCTACTCAGGAAGCTGAGGCAGTAGGACCACTTAAGTCCAGGAGTTCAAGGCTGCAATAACTAAGATCATGGTGGGGAGGGGTCCACCCGCCTCCACGGTGGGGGCCGAATGCCCCTCTTTGCCTTTAAAAAAAATAAACAGC